GTTATCTCACAAAACATTCAGAATAGGACACATGTCAATACACTTTTATTTTGCATACAATGACCTTACAGAATTTGCAAGCACTCTTAAACAGTCTGAACATTAATAAGGTAATTCAACTTACTATCCTATCAGTTTGCTTCATGGAAAAACACTTTAGCACTCTGTAAACCGTTAACAAACTTTGTTCAAAATGAATATTCCCATGTTACACGCATCTAACTTGTGAACTTATTTTGTGTTCCAAACTAGTCACACAACTTTACTGTTAGGTTAGTCTAGAATGACCTTTGCAATTCAGTAAAAATATTGTTTTCTTACACAATCTGTTTACTACTAGCTGAAGAACGGAAACTGAACAAAAGTTGTGTACATCCTCACTACCTGCACTGGTTCCAACTGCAGTTAATATTTCCATATACAGTGAGATCACAGATGACACCATTCCCCATTCATGTTCCAGGAAGCGTTACACACACCATCTCAACTTCATGGCTCCTGTGTTTATATTTGCAAGCATAAATCAGGATTACTGTATCTAGCTAAATACTGGTAACTTTTCAGAACCCTTGAAACATAATCAGCCACATTCCATGCAACTCAGGCAGGTGACTGCTTAACAATGGAGTAAAAATGAATATAGATCAAATTAGAACTTCAAAAATATAAGGAACATATTCTTTTTAATTTCTCAATCAATAAATAATTGTATGAACAAACAGCAATTATACAGTTCCAATAGTTAAATTTTATTAATACTATGAAAACTGGAATGGACAGAAGAAACCTGTTAGCTTTTTTTCCTCAGGAAACAGTTTACTCTTCAGGTTGAATAGCAAACTGTTTGAGAAAAAGCTACATTCCAGTTGAATACCGAGAATGTGAGGTTCCCTCTGTTCATTCCAATTTTAACAGTATTAACAAAATTGAAATGTTAGAACTATGTGACTGTCTGATATCTGTTGTTTCCACACCAATGTCATCAGCATTTTTATCAATCTAAACAATGAAATGAAATGATTATACATTTCAAAAATTTGAATTTCACTTGCCTGACAGAATATTATACACATGAAAATTTGTGCCAGCCTTGCTCTTAAGCTTCGCATTAAATCACTTTTAATCTACTTCTTCGATAGTTGGTCCTGCTCCAGCTGCTCCTCCAGCCCCTGGCGCAGGCCCCCCTGCACCCGGGAAACCCCCAGGCATCCCTCCTGGCATGCCACCAGTTCCCTGGTACAGTTTCGTCATGATGGGATTGCAAACTGCTTCCAGTTCCTTCTGCTGAGACTCAAACTCTTCTTTCTCGGCAAGTTGATTTGCATCCAGCCAACGGATAACCTCATTGCATTTGTCCATGATGGTGGTTTTGTCGGATTCGGATATCTTGTCCTTCAGCTTCTCATCCTCCACGGCACTCTTCATGTTGAAACAGTACGACTCTAGGGCGTTCTTGGCAGAAATGGTCTGCTTCTGCTTCTCGTCCTCAGCTCGGTATTTCTCTGCATCGTTCACCATGCGTTCTATCTCCTCTTTGCTGAGTCTGCCCTTATCATTGGTGATTGTGATCTTGTTTTCTTTCCCTGTTGACTTCTCCACAGCAGTCACGTTCAGAATACCATTGGCATCAATATCAAATGTGACCTCAATCTGTGGAACACCACGTGGTGCGGGAGGAATACCAGTCAGCTCAAACTTTCCAAGAAGGTTGTTGTCTTTGGTCATCGCTCGTTCACCCTCGTACACCTGAATCAGGACACCTGGTTGGTTGTCCGAGTAGGTAGTAAATGTCTGTGTCTGTTTTGTGGGGATGGTCGTGTTGCGCTTTATGAGCACAGTCATCACCCCTCCAGCTGTCTCAATACCAAGAGAAAGGGGTGTCACATCCAACAGAAGCAGGTCCTGCACCTCCTCAGACTTATCTCCCGCCAGAATTGCTGCCTGTACAGCTGCACCATATGCCACTGCCTCATCAGGGTTGATGCTCTTGTTCAGTTCCTTCCCATTGAAGAAATCCTGCAACAGTTTCTGTACCTTCGGAATACGGGTTGATCCACCAACCAGGACAATGTCATGGATCTGGGCTTTGTCCATCTTGGCATCTCGAAGTGACTTTTCAACTGGCTCCATGGTACTGCGGAACAAGTCTGCGTTCAGTTCCTCGAACCTGGCTCGGGTAATGGATGTGTAGAAGTCGATACCCTCAAACAGTGAATCAATCTCAATGCTGGCTTGGGTGGAGGAAGAAAGTGTGCGCTTTGCTCGCTCACAGGCAGTGCGCAGTCTTCTAACAGCACGCTTGTTGGAAGTCAGGTCCTTTTTGTATTTGCGCTTGAATTCTTGGACGAAGTGGTTCACCATTCGGTTGTCGAAGTCTTCGCCACCCAGATGAGTATCGCCAGCAGTAGACTTGACTTCGAAGATTCCATCTTCAATCGTAAGGATGGAGACATCAAAGGTACCGCCACCCAAGTCGAAAATAAGGACATTACGTTCCCCATGACCCTGCAAAAATTAAAAAGGATTAGATCCTCACAATATGGAGATATCTACCAAGTGTTCCTAATGTAGCTACTGAACAGGACCACCCTACAAGAACATTTATGAAATCAAAGTGGGTGCAGTCAGGTGGTATTCACCCATTGCCAAGTTATACCTGT